TTTGCCTAAAAAAAATATAAATATTATATATAAATATATATATAAATATATAAATATAAATACATATGTAAATATCATAAATATGTATAAATACATATAAATATCATATATAAATGTGTATAAATACTATATAAAAATATGTATTATATAAATATATAAATACTATATATAAATGTATATTATATAAATATATATAAATATACAAATGTATAATTATTCAGCATTCATCTAACTAATATAAGCATGGAATATTTTTTCCATCTTTTTTTTTTTATATTTAGTGTACTTAACACAATTTTGCTGTTGTATCCAATCTAATAATCTCTTCCTTTCAATGGTATAGTTAAGATATTTACATTTAATGGTGATAACAAATATGCTTAGGCTTACCCCTAACATTTTGCTATTTGTTTTCTATTCCCTTCATTTTTTTCTTTGTTCGTCTTCACTTTTTCTGCCTTCTTTTGGATTAGTTGTTTATATTCTATTTTATCTCCTTTATTGATTTCTTAGCTACAATTTGTTTTAGAAGTTTGTAATAGATTTCTATTGCTGTGTAACAAATTATCACAATTTAGAATCTTAAAAAACACATTTATTATCTCACAGTTTCTATAAGTCAACATTTTAAGACAGTTTCACTGGGTCAAAGTTTTGCATTCTGCTCAAGGTCTCTTAAGTTTTCAATCAAGATGTTAACTGAGTAGCGTTATTTTTTATTTGATTGTTTGTAGAAACGTAATCTGCTCAGGGCTGTTTGACTGAGGGCCCCATCTACTCATTGCCATCAGCTCAGATCTATTTACAGGTCCTAAAGGCCACTCACAGTTCCTTGCCATGTGATACTTACCACAGGCAATTTACAACATGGTTGCATGCTTCTTCCAGGCCAGAAGGAGAATCCCTCTTTTTTTTAATGCAGTCTGCTAAGCTTCTGCTATACATGAAAATGGAGGCATGAGTGGAATGATATCCCCTCTGCCTAATAAACAACCTAATCAATAGAATGACATCCCATCACCTTTATTGTATTCTATTGGTCACAATTTCTGTCTGCACTAGAAAGAAATCACACAAGGAAATGACTCATTGGTAGCCCCTCTAAGGTGTGTTGGCACTATTGCTTCAGAGACTCTACTGCACAGTTTTAACTCATCAGTTCACCTTCAACTGATACACAACCTTCAGAGAAACTGTACAAGCATATAAATTTACTTTTATTTCTTCTCTCCCACACTTTGTGCTACATTTTACTTTTACATATGCTATAAAACCCACATCACAATTTTTTTTTTCTTTAAAGATAGGGTCTCATTCTGTTACCCAGGCTGAAGTGCAATGGCATGACCAACTCATCACAGCTTTATACTGGGCTCAAGTGATCGTCCCACCTCAGACTCCTAAGTAGCCAGGACCACATTTCACTTTTTTTTTTTTTTTTTTTTTTTGAGACGGAGTCTCATTCTGTCACCCAGGCTGGAGTGCAGTGGCCAGATCTCGGCTCACTGCAAGCTGTCTCCCGGGTTTACGCCATTCTCCTGCCTCAGCCTCCCGAGTAGCTGGGACTACAGGCGCCCGCCACCTCGCCCGGCTAGTTTTTTTTTTTGTATTTTTTAGTAGAGACGGGGTTTCACCATGTTAGCCAGGATGGTCTCGATCTCCTGACCTCGTGATCCAGCTGCCTGGGCCTCCCAAAGTGCTGGGATTACAGGCTTGAGCCACCGCGCCCGGCCCATTTCACTCTCTTGTATACATTCAGATTTGAAGCTAATGCCATTTTCATTCAGCCTGAAAAACTTCTTCCATGTTTCTTGTAGTGTGGGATCTTATGCTGAAAATTGCCTTCCATGCTTGTGTGTTTAAGAATGTCTTTAGTTAGCCTTTTTATTTTTATTTCTATTTCTTTCTTACTTACTTTATTTCTTTATTTCTGAGGTGGAGTCTTGCTGTGTGGCCCAGGCTAGAGTGCTGTGGCGTGATCTCGGCTCACTGCAACCTCCGCCTCCCGGGTTCATGCCATTCTCCTGAGTCAGCCTCCTGAGTAGCTGGGACTACAGGTGCCTGCCACCAGGCCTGGCTAATTGTTGTATTTTTAGTGGAGACGGGCGGGGGAGGGGGGTGCGGTTTCACAGTGTTAGCCAGAATAGTCTCGATCTCCGATCTCCTGACCTCGTGATCCGCCCACCTTGGCTTTCCAAAGTGCTGGGATTATAAGCGTGAGTCACCACGCCTGGCCTAGTTAGCCTTCATTTTTGAAAGCTGTTTGCTGGAAATAGAAATCAAGGTTGACTTTTTTGATTCTTACAGTATTTGAAAGATGTTACTCTATTGTCTTGCTTGCATTGTTCCAAAAAGAAATTTCCTGTAATCCTGCTATTTGTTTCTATGTAACATGTGCCCCAACACCCCTAATTACTTTAGAATTTTTTATCAATGGTTTTAGGTTATGAATTATGGTGTAACTTGATGTAATTTTCTTAATATTTCTTTGAGATTTGTGAAGCTTCTTGAATATATGAATTACATTTTCATCACATTTCAAATTTTTTGGTCTTTATTACTTATGTTTTCTTGTCCTCTCCCCTTGCCTCTCTCTCTGAGACTCCACTTTCAAGTATATTAGGCTGTTAGAAGTTGTCTCACAGCTCACCACTGATTAGTTCATGTTACTTTATTTTCATTTTTTAATATTCTGTGATTCATTTTGGGTAGTTTCTCTAGACCTATGTTTCACTTTCATTCCACAATGTGTAACATACTATTAATACCATCTCATTCCATCTATCACATTGTAGTTTTCATCTCTACAAGTTTGATTTAGGTCTTTATTACAAGCTTTGTGTCTTTTATTAACTTTTTTTAACAGCTTTTATGACAGCAGTAAAGTGTAAATTTAGTGGTTTTCTGTATAGAATTGTGCAACCTTCACCAAAACTTAATTATAGAACATTTTATTTACCCCTTTAAAAGAAACACTATATCCATTTGCAGTCCCTCCCCATACTCTCTCAACCTCTTATTCCCACCAATTCCCAGCCCTGGACAAGCACTATATAAATTTACTTTCTGTTGCTACAGATTTGTCAAATCCAGACATTTAACATAAATGAAATAAGATATTATGTGGTCTTTTATAATTAGCTTCTTTCACTTAGTATATTTTCAAGGTTCGTTCATATTTTAGCATGCAGTAACCGTTATTTAGCATGTAATAAAGTTCTCTTTATTACTGATTAATACTTCATTGAATGAAAGTATATGTTTTCACTCACCAGTTAATGGACCTTTGGGTTGTTTTTACCTTTCAGCTTTTGTGAATAATGCTGCTATGGATGTTTGTGTACTTTTGTGTCTCCATGTTTTTATCTGTCTTAGATATATCACTAGGAGTGAAACTGTGACTCATATGGTAACCCTATGTTCAAAGTCTATGCACCATTTTACATTCCCATCATCAACATGAGAATTCCCCTTTCTTTACATCTTTACCACCACTTACCTTTTTCATTATAGTTCTGATAATCTTTTTTGAAGATAGGGGATATAGTTACAATAACTGTTTTAATGTCCTTGCCTGTTGATTCTAACATTACTTCAGTTCTGATCAGTAATTGATTTTTCTCCTCATTATGTGTTTTTTTTTTCTTTTTCTTTTTGCAAGCTTGGTAATTTTTCATTGCATGACATATGTAAATTGCACTTTAACTGGTTTGTGAACATTTTTCTATTTCTATAAATACTACTGAAGTTTGGTCTTGTCATCTGTCATGGTTTGTTAAGTTTGATCCATTTGGGTCTTACTTTTAAGAGTTAGATGGCACTAGAGCACTGATCAGCTAGGACTAATTACTGCCTACTAAATAATAAACAACTACTAAATCAAGACTTTTTTTGTGTACTCTATCCAACGTCCAATGGACTATGAAGTTTTCCAGCCTGGTTAGTGGAAATAGTGACTATTTCTGACCCTCCGTAATGTCCTCTTTTTTTTTTTTTTTTTTTTTTGAGATGGAGTCTCACACTGTCACTAGGGCTGTAGTGCAGTGGCGCAATTTCGGCTAACTGCAACCTCAGCCTCCCGAGTTCAAGCAATTCTCCTGCCTCAGGTTCCCGAGTAGCCGGGATTACAGGCGCCCGCCACCACGCCCAGCTAATTTTTTTTTTTTTTGTACTTTTAGTAGAGACGGGGTTTCACCATGTTGGCCAGGCTGGTCTCGAACTCCTGACCTCGTAATTCACCTGCCTCGGCCTCCCAAAGTGCTGGGATTACAGGTGTGAGCCACTGCACCCGGCCATGTCCTGATACCTTTAAAAATCTTTTGGCTAGTTTATTGAGACACATACTGCTCAGTACTCAGGTGAATGAATACCGAGTTGTCTGTGAGCAGTTCTCTTTCTCCGGTACTCTGCAAAGAACATTACCTACCTTGGTTTCCCAAGAATATCAGTTCTATTTTGCCAACGCAGGCAATCCGCTGGGCTCTGCTTGAGTTCACTCTCCTGCATCTCTTCTATAAAATATTAGTATCTCTGAAAGCAGCTCGCTTTTTGAGCTCAGATCATTTGCTTCCTGTATCTCCCGGATCACTATTCTTCTTTACTGATTCCCAGCGTCTTAGAAACAGCCCCACTGTTTTTCGGGTTTTTTTTTTTCTACAGCAGTAGTAAATATTTTAAATAAAGTGTTAATGCTGTAAGTGTCCCCTAAAACGCAAACTCAAGGAAATACTTTCCCTCTTTCCAGTAGAGCAAGAACTTCACAGCGCGCGGCCGAGTTCAAGTTCCACTTACAGTCTCTGGCACCGCGTACGGTCTAGCGCGCAGGCGCAGAACCCGTGCGCGCCTAGCCATAAGCGCGCTTGCGCCAAGCAGCGAGGCACGCCAACGTGCGAATCTGCGCCTGCCAATTAGAGCGCAGAATGGTCGTTGGTGCCCGCCCACTAATCCCTGCAGCCAATCGCCTGCCCCGGCGCGAAGTCGACTGTGAATTCAAAATATACCTAGGGATTGTGGGAAGGCGGCTGAACGCGGCGCCTAGAAGGATGGAGGCGGCGGAGACAGAGGCGGAAGCTGCAGCCCTAGAGTAAGTGTTTGCGGCCAAGTGGCAGCTGGGGGCGGGCCTGGGAGGACCTTGTGGGCCCCTATGTGTAATGATTGCTGCCCTCGACCTTGTACAGCTTTTGAGGTTCGACCCTGCCGTGAATTGATCCTCACCGCAGTCCCGTCTTAGGTTCCTGAGGTGACTGTTGCCTGCTCCAGGAGTACGGCCTTTAGGGGACCGTTCGCCGCTCCCCACATACACATACTCCACAGGATGTGCTCTAGGAGACTGTTTTACTTCTGTCTTCTTGTCCCAACACGACACATTCCCAATCACTTCTCATCCCCATCCCTGCCCCCCCGTAGACTTCTCCAGTCCCTAATAATGAAAAACCCTAGGGTCGAGCCAGGCATCCAGCCCTCTGCCCTGAGTCCTTTCTCAGCTTTTCCAAGACCCTGCCCCAAGGCTGGTGCTCACTGCCAGGAGGGATCCCAAGGCCCAGCATTCTTCCCCTTTCATGCATATCTCCCCGGCTTCCTTGACATCTTGACTCAAATGGTTTCTCTTCAGTGAGACACTCCCTATTTAAAATCTCAGCGTTTTTCTCAAACTCCTTATCTACTAACCCTGCTGATTTTCCTTTGGGCACGTATTATCACTGTATGCCCTCCGTGCACTCCATTCCTCGTTGCAGGCTGTAGGCCCTTCAGGCCCTTGTGTAAACTCTGGTCAAGGCAAGACTCTCAGTAGTATACATACTGATATACACATCCACATTTGTGTACACACAAGAACTGTAGAACTAGCATCACAAGAAGCTGCAATTTCCTCTGTTTCCTTACCCCTCCAGGGTCCTGGCTGAGGTGGCAGGCATCCTGGAACCTGTAGGCTTGCAGGAGGAGGCAGAACTGCCAGCCAAGATCCTGGTTGAGTTTGTGGTGGTATGTACAAGATGAGAGCGAGCCTTTCAGAAGCCAGGGTCTGGTCCTGGCTCCTCTTATTGAGATACAGGGCAGCATTGGCAGAGAGCAGACTTTAAGGAAACCTGTAAGGAGGTAAGGACGTTCCCTGTCTCTGCCCTCCCTCTGAGCAGGACTCCCAGAAGAAAGACAAGCTGCTCTGCAGCCAGCTTCAGGTAGTGGACTTCCTGCAGAACATCCTGGCTCAGGAGGACACTGCTAAGGGTCTGGACCCCTTGGCTTCTGAAGACACCAGCCGTGAGTAGGCAGGGGATTGGAGTAGCATCTGGCCTGAGTGGGGAAGGAAGGAGGATTTCAGATAGGTCTCCCATTTGGCTGATGGGAAGGAGGCCCAGTGTTGCAAGGAGGCAGGCTAGCAGGCCACCCTCACTCATGTTCTCATTCCTGGTGGCTCATCTCAGGACAGAAGGCAATTGCAGCTAAGGAACAATGGAAAGAGCTGAAGGCCACCTACAGGGAGCACGTAGAGGCCATCAAAATTGGCCTCACCAAGGCCCTGACTCAGATGGAGGAAGCCCAGAGGAAGCGGACACAACTCCAGGAAGCCTTTGAGCAGCTCCAGGCCAAGGTACACCCAGGGGTCCTGAGTACAGGGAGGGAAGGGCAGTCAGATAGGAAGAGGGAAAGAGTGAGCAAGCTGAGTTGTGCCAGCTTGCAATCTCCCAAAATTCCAGCCAGAAAAAATAGACTTCTTCTCCTGGTCCCTCTCCCTTGCTTGTCTGCAGAAACAAGTGGCCATGGAGAAACGCAGAGCAGCCCAGAACCAGTGGCAACTACAACAGGTAGGTTCATCCTCCTAGGAGAATATCCCTTCCCACCACCATGCCATCGTATGGACTGTGTCCCCTGTCTAGAAAACCTTCGTTTTGCTTCTTCCTTTGAGGCACTATAATATAAATACCAACATGGGCTTGAATCTCAGTATCACCACTTACCACTGCATGACCTTGGGCAAGTCACCTAACTTTCTGTTTCTTTATCTAAAATGGAGGCAATAATACCACCTACTCTAGAGAGTTATTAAGATGATTAAATGATCATTACAGCAAGGGCTTAAAATAGTACCTGGCACATAGCAAGTTAAATAAGTGTTATCACCTTTGTGCCCCTTCCCTCCAAGAATGCCTCACCCTAGAACAGCTCCTTCTGATCTTTCCTTTTCTCTAGGCCCCTACTCTACTCTGAAGTGAATAGAGTCCCTCTTTTCATCATTGAGCCTGAGCCCTGAGCTGGGTGTAGGCTGGAGGGGTTGGAGGGATGGTTCTAAGACCTCAACATCTGATGCATAATGTCTGCACACTCACTCCTGGCAGGAGAAGCATCTGCAGCATCTGGCAAAAGTTTCTGCAGAGGTGAGGGAGCGTAAGACAGGGACTCAGCAGGAGCTTGAGGGGGTGTTTCAGAAACTTGGAAACCTGAAGCAGCAGGCAGAACAGGAGCAGGACAAGCTGCAGAGGTAAGGTTGGGAGCATGGGTTGCGGATTCAGAATGGTCCAGCTGAGATTCCTTTCCTTCACACTTACCTCCTCTTTACAGGTACCAGACCTTCCTCCAGCTTCTGTATACCCTGCAGGGTAAGCTGTTGTTCCCTGAGGCTGAAGCTGAGGCAGAGAATCTTCCAGATGATAAACCCCAGCAGCTGACTCGACCCCAGGAGCAGAGTACAGGAGACACTATGGGGAGAGATGCTGGTGTGTCCTTCAAGGTAAGTGAGAGATGGAACAGGTGGGCATGGGCAGGCAGGTGGAGACAGAAGCTGCGAGACTGGCCTTACCCACTGTCTATACTGTATTTCTCCAAGGCTGTCAGCCTACAACCTGCTGGAGATGCAAATTTGCCATGACTTCCTGGAGGACAACAGCATGGAGAAAGATCCTAGAATAGGTCAGACCCAACTTAGGCCTTGGTGTCCCTGGATGCAAGTGTGGAAAGAGGGAAAGCCTCTCTATGCATCTGAGCTCTGCTACCCATGGAGCAGATGGATGGTGGGAACAGGAAAGAGCTTATGTTACAGTTTAACACCTCATTCCCTTGCTCAGCCCACCCAGAGCTAACCCCTGTCTTCTTCCCCAGGCCTCTGACTTCCCTCACCACCCCCAACCATCATTCCAGGAAAGACTGTGAACTCCTGAGTTCAGCCTGATTGCTGACTACATCCCAGCAAGCTCTGGCATCTGTGGATTAAAAGCCCTGGATCTCTCTCAGTTGCGTACTTGTTCATCTTCATATGCTGGCAGGAAGAACTATTAGTACAGATACTCAGAAGCCAATAACATGACAGGAGCTGGGACTGGTTTGAACACAGGGTGTGCAGATGGGGAGGGGGTACTGGCCTTGGGCCTCAGGGGTTGCTTCCCCCTATGATGCAGACATGCTGAATTTAATTCAAGGAGGAGGAGATTGCTTTAGGCAGGTGGTTATATGTGGGAAGATAATTTATTCACTAATCCAAATTTTATTCATGGATCCAAATGTTTGTTGAGTCCTTTCTTTGTGCTAAGGTTCTTGCTGTGAACCAGAGCTGTAACAGTGAGCTCATCTGACTGTTTTAGGTTGTATAGCCTAGTGTTAACATTCTTAGTGTCTTTTTGTGCCTTAAAACATTTCTTGATCACTGGTTTCAGATGTTCATTTATAATATTCTTTTCAAAGATTCAGAGATTGGCTTTTGTCATCCACTATTGTATGTTTTGTTTCATTGACCTCTAGTGATACCTTGATCATTTCCTACTTTCTGTTTTCAGATGGAGAAGATGTACCTTTTTTGTAAACTCTTATTTTGTAAACTCTTATTTTTATCAGATGATCAACTCATGTACTTGAATATTTGTTTTCTCAAATAAATATTTAAGGCTATACATTGCTTCTGACTTCCTTTATTTTCACAATCATTCAATTCATAGCATTTTCTATATTCTGTTATAATTATTTCATTGATTCATAAGTTTCTTTGAAAAATAATTTGGTCTTCTATTGATTGTGGGAAGATAATCTAAGTTTATAGAGAATGTCATCTATTTAACAAACTTTGAAATTTGGTGAGTGAATTATAGCCTCGATGTAGTGATCTTTTTTAATGTTTTACATAGTTTTGGAAAGAATGCGTTTTAGATTGTATGCAGTATTTTCTATTAGATTATGTTTGCAATTTTTGTTTCAATTTATATCTTCTATATACTTAATTTTTTGTTGTCTGAGTATCACCTGAGAGAGGTGTGTTCAAGTCTCCAACTATGATAGTGGATTTGTTCATTTCTCTTTATAGTTCCATTTTCTTACATATTTTGCAGCTCCTTTATTAAGGTATATGTAAATTTACATTTATATTTTTCTTCAGAACTGAACTCTTACCTTTGTGTGGTAGCCTGCTTCATCTATAGGCTAACGTGTTTAGCCTTGAAGACTAATAGTTTTAATTTTAATATAACTTTGTCACTTCTTTTGGTTACCCTTTGCTTGACATCCTTTCTCTTGAATTTCAATCCTTTTTTAGTTTCAACCTTTCTTTATATTTACCACTTGTATATTGCATTTAAAGGGTTATTTAAAAAAAAAAAAACAGTTTCACATTTGTCTTTATGATTTTCTAGTTGTGTCAATTTTTTATTTGCTTTTTCTTGGTTTTTTATCCCTTTCATGCCTTTTAATTTTTTTATTGTTTTTTCATGCTTTTTTTTGTTGTTTGTTTAGAAAGTCTCATTTAGACCTGCTAGTTTAGCTTTCATAGTTAGCAATGTCTCAAGTAAGGTAAAGAATTAATTAAAGACTCTTGATCCTTTTCTTAATAAATGAAGCCTAAACAGCTGTAACCATTGACAGATCATCCCACTCTAAACTATTAAGGTATTTTTGTCCAGTTTATTACTTCTAGCCTGTTTGTATTCTCATAAATTAATTTTTTAAATTATTTTATACAGTCAATGCTTTATTACTAATTTATTTACTATTTTTGCCCACATTATTTTTACATTTCAGAGTCATGTGGAATACTTTTTCCAGCTGAAATAAATGTCTCAGAAATTCCCTTAGAGTTTGTAGACTGTATAATACTTTAAATTTTACTATGAAAATATTTTTATTTCATCCTCATTCTTGAGAAATGTTTTTATTATGTAGAGAATGCTTGGTAGTGACTTAACACACTGAAGATTAACTCACTGATTCTTTGGTCATCTGGTTTTGGTCCTTGATGAGAAGTCAAATGTCAGTTTAAAAGCCCTTCCTATAATTTTTTTTTACCAACTTGGTGCTTATAACACCTGTATTTAGTGCTCTATACTTTTACTATATTGTGAATAGTTTGGGACTCTGGTTTACTTATGTATTCATTCATTCGACTTGCAATTAACTGTGCTTTCTAAATTGCCACTCTTTCAACAATTCTGGAATATTTTCAGCTTTATCTGTTTAAAAAGACACCTCTTGTATATTAGCTTCTTCTAAGATGCCAATTAGACAGCAATTAAATTTTCTAACTTTTTTCTTCATGTCATGCAAATTTTCTTTTGTAGTTACCGTTGCTCTTTCTCTTTAGATTGCATTCTAGATACCTTTCCTAAGTCTATTTTAACTGTATACCCAAGCTATTGTTTTTTCATCCATTTCTTAATTTTTGATTTTTAATTTTCATTTCATTAAGTTGTATTAGATCTCAATTTACTACTGCTTTTGGATATTTTCTTCTGGCTTACATTTTGAGCTTTAATTTTTTTTAATTTTTAATGTATTTGACTATACAGTAGGTATACATATGAGCTTTTTTTAATTATCTTAATATATGGACACTTCGTTTTCTTTTTTGGAAAGGTTCTTAATATATAACTTTTTTGGCCTATCTCATACTCCCTGTTTAATATAGTTCATGTAGTTTTACTTCGAGCTGCCTATTTTTCCTGAATTATACCGTTATGGCCTGATACAAACATTGAGAGAATTTGTGTTCACTTCTATCAATAGCTTGTGGGCATTACCTGTATAACGCTTAGAAATGTTAAAATGAATGTTTGTAATGTTTTTTATATCTATGTGCTATCCCATTTTTCATTCCTGTTGTTTGTTTTTTTTCTTATTAGTATTTCCCAGAGGCTTCTTTTCTACTATGTATGTCTTTCAAAAGTACAGGTGTTGGCATTATTTTCTTTAATGTTGCTTTTAATACATTTTAATTATTTTTTGTCTTTATTATTCCCTTCTGCTTTTTTAATATTTGTAGGATTTTTAAAAATTAATATTTGATAATACATATATGTTCTTATATTCCAACAAATGCATTTACATATTTACATTTTTATTTGACCACCACTCTGAGAATAATTCATATATTTTAATACATAGGCCATTCATTATTTCTAAATAGATTATAATTTTAGTATTGATTTCATTTTAAATCAAGAAAGTTTCTTTTGTTGCTTTTGCCTCTCAAACGTATTGGGAATGGTGTTTAGTTCCTTAATGGATTTAAGATAATTTTCTGTTATTTTTAATCCACCAAATTTCGTAATTTCACTGTGCTTTTATTCAATTTGCTTCAAATGGTATGACACTTGTGAATATTGTTCCTTAAAATTTACTAGTTACATATGGGCTTATGTATATGCGTAGTCATTATACATGTTCTTACAGGGAAGAGACTTTATCATTTTTGTTCATCACTAAACCCACAGGTTCAAGAAAAATCCTGATAGAGGGTAGATCCACAGACATTGGTGAAAATGTAAATGGTTGACAAAAATGAAAAAGGAACACAATGCATATATGAGGTATTCCAGATTTTTAGTGTGTCTTGGAGGTTTGTATGAGATTTCACAGAGGTAACCCACAAAAAAAATTTTACTTCTATATTATGACTTTTCTATTACATCCATTTTTTCCAAAATACTATTTTTTTCTGACAGAGTTCTAAACATTGAAAATCATTTAACACATTGCATTCAGTATTTCTGACCATTTTTATCTAACCAGTTACTAGGCTGAGTTTCTAAAAAACAACATGAGAGATATAAAACTTGTTCAAAGGTACCCCCCTAAAATTATTAAGGTCTTCTATATTTATGTGACTTATTCCTATCAAGTAAATATTCTTATTATCCCAGATAGTGTCAGCAAAGCTAATACTGCACATTCTGTCTGTACAGTTTTGAAATTTATAAAACTAAGGTTTCATTTCTAATATTCTCCCCTGCCATAACAAGATGGGGATTTTCCTCTGCTCTTTATTCCTTATAGTGCTAAACTTGTACTTTTTGCAGCAGTGGTGATCAGTGAGGGTTTTGAATATCTCTAAAAATAAATGGCTTTCTTCCCTGTGCTACCAGTATATAGTCATACAATACTAGGCGTATGTATTGTATTGAAGTATTGTTTTTATGAGCTTGTTTTTCCAAAAGGGAATAAAATATCTACAAAGTGTGTTAGTGATAACTTCTGAGAAGTTTCTGCTAACTCTGAAAATGCCGTAACTATTTTCACACAATGTTAATTTTCTTCTACTGTAGAGCCTTTCTGAGGTTAATACACCACATTCCTGTCTTATAGAATTTCTATAAATTGTATTGAATGTTTATATCTCTTCTTTGAGCCTCTTTATTTGTCTCTTTTATGTATAAGTTCTGAGATATGAATAGAGTGTGAAATTAAATAATTTTATTTCATTATTATTCCCAGTCCAGTTTTTAAATGACCCTTTTTATAGATAGAACATTGGACTGTGAGGAACTTGCTATTTGGTTTTGTAATTCATTAATTAACAAACATGCCCCACTGATACAATTTGCTCTTGAAACCTTGACTATCCTAGATTGTTTTGAGACCCATTTAAAACCGTCATAAATTCATTATGTCCTTAAATTTATAACTGTTATCAAAATTATGAAAAAGCAAAAAACCTTCATAGACCTCTGTAATATACAAAGACTAGATTTTGGATGCCATATTTGTACGCATTTCTAAATTTTAAATTGTCAGATGAACTTTAGGAAACACTATCCAAGGTGTGTGTAATTCATTTCATCATGCATTATGTAGTAATTATACCCAAATGTAGAAGTTGATTGTTTATGGTGGTAGATTACTGTATACCTAAAATCATGTTTGATGAAACCAGAGAAAATTCAGGATCATGCTTTCAGAAAGTGATAGGACTATTAGATAAGGTTATCACTAAAATTTTTTAAATAAATGTAAAAAATATAGTTTAGTGCAAACATTCTGTTTATATGTACTATAAAAAAATAACATGAAGTGAAATAATTTGTTTTCTGAAAAAATGAATTGTTTAAAATATTCTGTAGATTCTCCAGGTTATCCAATATATGAAATTTTATTGTAAAACTGGGTCTAATCTTAATAACCAAACAGTAAATGTCAATTTTATTAGTCTAGTTAAAAAGCAGTAATATTAAATATTCATACTTATCACTAATCATTGAACAATAATTTATTTTTTATATGGGCATTTGAGGAAAAATACTTCTCTTTGGGGATACAAGCCTGTCCACAGTCTCCATATGTATGAGGGTTGGATAAAAGTAATTTGAAATAATTTATTTATTGAAGTATAGCATTATCTCTGGTAGGTTCATTCTGTTACTTCATAAAGATAATAGACTGTGAGGGAAGATACATGGGTTTCTAGCTTGAAAATTCTGTTAATAATTACAAAGCATAACTTTGTTTCAGTATGTTTTCAACAGGGAAATAAGAGGAAAAGGAAAGAAATGATAAATTCACTAGAGAAATTCAATCATAAAAATATAGAACATGTCTGTGTATGTGGTATTGTTACAGGGGATTTTTGTTCTTCAAGCTCCCAAGATGGTGGCGGGCCTTTTGTTCTCTGACTTGGGGTTCTTGGCCTCAGGGAT